CTGAGCACCTTGCATGGTTAAGGCCAAGAAGCACAGAGCAGTAAGAAATTGTGTGTGTGTTTTGGTCAGGTTTCCTGGCCTGTGCAATGGTACTGGCCGTTAGCTCTTCCCTCTCCCTGCTGCCCTCCTGCAATATTATTTTTAAACTGCTAGAATGAAATAAATTTGTCAGATCAAAAAAGGGCTCTAAGACATTACATGCTGACAAGTTTCATGAAAATAAGGTAGAGAAGAGAGACCCAAACAACTTTCCCTCACTGAGCAAAATGCTTCATCTAAGTGCCATGTTGTTAGGCAGCTGAGATTGCACACCTGTGAGTCACAGCCTCCACAGGTTCTTCTGCCTCTGATGTTTGGTTTTGTTTTTTGTTTTTTTTTTTTAACTCAGGTAGAAGAGAAGATATTTAGGGCACCTGAAACAAGTGGGTAATCTATGCTGGGAGAGGTGTGTGATGTGGTGGTCAGCACAGAAGATCTGAACTTGGGAGCAGAGCAGATGAAGACTTGGCTTACTCTGTCGTGCTTAGTGCCTTCCTGCATCCCAACTCCAAGGAGTGTGAGCTGCCCTGAGGATGTTACTGCTCGGCAGCTGCTCATCTGCTCTGAGTATTTCTTGTTGGTTGCAACTTTGTGAGCTCCTGTTCGTTGTACCTGAAAACTGTTTTCAAGGTTATAGCCATACATTCAAGGAAGCTCCCCATTTGTGACCCATGAGAAGGTGAGGAGGTGGTTTCTGAGGGCTTATAGCATGTTTGGTAGACCATATATTGGGGCTGGGAACCACAAGAACTTCCAAGTGCAGGATTTCATGGGAAATTGCAGGAATTAGGGCAAATACTTAAGTTGGGGGTTTTCCTCACTGACACTGCAGATTGGGCATGTAATTTTCTATGAGAAAAGAAAGCAGAAGCAAATGGGCTGGTCATCTGCAGAGGTGCAGATCTTTGGTTTTCCCCTTTTTGATATGCAACTAGGGGAGGGAGAATGGGAAAGTTTGTGGTTTCTGCCTCACCTTCTCTGAGCATCAGATGTGCTCACAGGCAGGGCTCCAGCTGATGGATCTCACTGATGTCCTTCAAAACGATAACCGCTTTTGGGAGCAGGAAGGGCCAAATTGGGGTCTAGCTGCCCTCTGCAGTGTGAGGCTTGGCTTTCCAGCTAGGGGTGCTTTACCTAGCAGATTTCTGGCTGTTTCAGGACCTTTGGGCTTTCTCCTCTCCCTGACTAACAGCAGAGGCTCAGAAGTCTCTGCCTTGCCGGGAGTGTGAGTAGGAGGTAATCATCTGTGGGCAGCCTGGGAAGGTGGAGGAATGGGAGTGTGAGCAGCTGCCAGACAGGCGCACATCGGAGAGGAAAGGTGGGATGGGAGGATGGTGGGGGACAGGAGCTATCTGTTCAGCTTGTCACCAGGCAAGTGGTAAAGCAGGAAATGCTACTACTAAATAACTACAATAACTACTTGATGGCCTGTGGGACGTTGAAATGGTACGTGCTTTTGCTGTCATGGGCCATTTGTAGCATGGGAGTCTTTTCCAGCCTCAGGGTTATGAGAACTGTGGCATCCTATCTCCTCTGCTTTGGGTTTGATGCTAAGGACAAGCTGCCTTTGCATCAGTTTCCCCATCTGAAATGGGGGGAAGCGTGTTGAGATCTTTGGATTACAGCAGGCCATGGTGTGGCTCATACCTGTCCTACGGCTATTTATCCTGCAGAAACTCCTGGAGACCCTGGAGTGAGTGCATGGGCTGGCTATTGGATGCTCACACAAGGAAGAAACTGATGCATTTGAGATGGGTGGTAAATGCCTCATCCTTTTCTGCTTTCACTGCTGGTGGCTGGAGATGGAAAAGATAAGCACAAGAAGAGAACACCCTTGAGCATTCAGGTAAGGTGATAATATCTTCCTGTACTCTAACCTGAAGTTTTCTAAAACCTTGAATCAAGTTAAAGGAAACAGCTAACAAAGGGATGTTTCATGCTTGTCCTGTAAAGATTCTACTTCTGTGTAAGTGGCAGGCTGGGATCTGCAGCTATGTAGGGCCCTTGGCTTGCTCACCCAGGAGCTCAGAGAGCATGTCCTTCATCCCCTCTCTCTCATCTTTCTGACTCTTTCTTTTCTGTTTGTCTTTTGCTTATTATCTTTGTGGGCCACTTTGGTCCATAACTTATTTCTCATGTGACTTATTTCCTGCATGTGACAAGGTCCCCTTCATCCATCCCACCTGTTCCCTTAAGCTTGGGCTGATGCCCAGTATAATAGGACACGCTGCTACAAAGAGCACATTCCACTACTTTCTCCTGGTAGGATTTTTTTCCCTGGCACTATCTCAACTTCTACCTCCCTTAGGCTTCCCACAGGCACACCATACTCTCCATGGAGCACAGTATCATGGATGCTGCACTAATTCTGCCCTCGGACATATGCGGAACAGGGCAGCATTGCTTTGAAAGACTAGCTTGGTCCTAAAGGCACTACAGATGATCTAGGGAGGGAGGCAGTTGATTACCCAAGGTGGCAGCATGGTCAACATCACTCTCAGAGCCCAGGAGGTTCCTACCACACTCATTTCCACACTGCAAGGTGCACCTTGACCTAGGGCCTGCCTGGGCATAACAGGTTGGAAAAAAAAACCCTGGGATATTTTGTGCAGTCTTGGAGGCCTCCCACTGTTCCCAAACTTCTTTGAGACAGACAGAGCTGGAAGAGTTTCCCTTGGCTTCGTCTTGTCCCTCAGCAGAGTTCTCCCACCCAGTCATAGAAATCCACTTGTGTTGTAGGAGGCATCTGGGAAAGGAGGTGTTTAGGCCACTTCCCAAATGTGAATCTGGCATCCTGTGTTGCTTTTCAGCCAGTGGGTGCTGTATGTATGGGAAGCACTCTTCAGGGTAGAGCCACCGTAGCTGGTCTTGGAGCTGGGCCTCTTTGATGCCTTGCAGGTGAGACTATCTCTTTGTAGCAGATGCACACATCTTGGTGTGCTTACCCATGGCATCAACATAGTTTCACCCACCATCTTTCTAGGGCATCTGCTGGTATTGGGCTGCATTCCCAAACTCTGAGGCTGGGAGGGAGAGTTGTCTACAGGATGCTCTTAGACATCGGCACATCTAAAGAGAAATACTTCTTACCAGGGATGTCAGAGAGGATATTGTCACTGAGGTGGCACAGAGAGCTCTTGTTCTGGTTTCTGTGGCTTCTGCTGTTGCCCCTATGGCAGAGATTGCCTGGGGCAAAGAGCAGTGGAAAGAGATGTTTATGGCTGGGACTCTGCAACACCCACTCACAAAAGACAGGTCAGTTGCAACATCCATTTGAAGGAGAACAGGGAGAAAGAGGGTAAACCCCAGCTCTCCAAGAAAAAAGGCAGCCAAATATCTGGGAAAGGCAGAGAAAGGAGTATTCCACATGCTGGGCAGCCCACAGGGGTGTGTATGGATAATAGTTCTTCAGAGCATGGAAGTGCATCTGCCCACCCACCCACCCTCCTGTGCCTAAACCTGGAGACCCTGAGAGCCAGGGTACAAGATGCCAGCATTCAAAAGCCAGCCAGACACAGCTCCTTCCCTACCCAGCACGTGGGAACGTGCTGCAGGACATCATACACGAATTCTCCCTCCTGTGCAGATGCAGGGCCACACCAGTGTGCAGTAAGGCCCATGCTGCTGTGTACATAGATGCACACACAGCATTTTGGGTGTATATGCACCCACACATTTCTATGTGCAACCTTGCCCCAGTGCTTTTTCTGGCCTTTCCAGCCTTTGCTCACCCCCAAGCCGGGGACAGCAGAGCCCCACAGCCCTGCCATGCTCATTTGGGTCTTAGGGACTGCAAAGGGTAAACTGGGACCAGAGGGGGGGGTGCCTGAAAGCAAACTAATGATGAAAATGTCTCCTCCATGCCTGTGCCTTAATTAAATGCATGGAGAGGCTCGGGGAAGCACATCTGTTTTCAATCTGGAGCCCTTTGATGGCATCAAATGTTCTTTCCCCAGATCAGGGGGGATGGAAATTCTGGGCTGGCTGTGGCAGCTCGGAGCCCAGGCTCCAGCCCCCGGGACACAGCAGCCTTTCCTGGCCGGCAGGACCCTGTCCCTCGCTGCCAGCCCTGCTGCCCTCGGGACCCTTCTGCAGCCAACAAGGGCCTGGGGGCACCTCCCTGCACCTTTACCTGTCCCTGTCCTGGGCCAGGCCAAACTGCTGGGACCTCTGTGCTTGCTGGCCTGAGGAGCTCCCAGTGCGCCCTCCTCCTTCTCCTGTCTTTTTCTCTTTGCTGTTTCTCTTTCTGGCTTTTATTTATTTTATTTTATTTTATTTTCCCCTTCTGCTCTTTTGCTCTCCTTCTGGGTCTGTCTTCTCTCTCTTAGTTCTCTGTTGCACTTTTTCTTCCTCTTTCGCTATTTTTCCTTCTTCCTTTCCTCTCTCCCGTTCGCGCTTTCTCTTCTATTTCTTTGTCTCCTTTTCATCTGCATTTCTCATTTTCACTTATTTCTGTAGTTCGCTATTCTACTAGATTGTTCTCCTGCTCCTCTCCGCTGCCCCGGGGGCCGTGCCCACCCTCCCCAGGTGCGCCTCCGGGTGACAAGGCTGGGGGCTCACCCCCCCACCCCACTTTGCGTCCCTATCACCCCCAGACCGGGGTGCTCGCCCAGCCGCCCCCCAACGAGGAGCTAATGAGGGCGGCGGGGCCGGCGCTGCCCACCCCCGTCCCGGGGGGGAACCGCGCCGGTGCCACGTCCCGGCGGGGCCCCGCGGGCCGCCCTCCCCCGGTTGCC